AGGCGCCGCAGAAGTCGCTCCCCTCCTCCCCCTCCCCCCCCCCCCCCCCCCGCTCGAGCGCTGACTTCTCCCCTCACACCCCATGACTGGGCAGCGTCCTCAGCCCTGCTCCAGCTGCCTGTTGTGCGAGCCGCCTCTTTGCACTTGCCCCCAAACATCCCCCCGCGCATGTCCCCGCGGACGCGCCCGCCCTGAATTTCCCCTTATCACACCTTGAGTCTGGGCAGCGTCCTAAGCCCCTGCTCCAGCTGCCTGTGCGCCGCTTGCTCCCCCGCGCCCCCCTGCTGCCTCTGCGCGGGCGGGCAGATGGGCGCGCCCGCGGGTCGGCTGGGGAAGGCGGAAGGGGGGTAAGCGGGGGGGCAACGAGGAGGGCCGTGCGGGGGGAAGTCTGGCGCATGAGGGGGGTGGTATGAAGGGGGGAAGGGCGGGGTATGTGAGCGCGTGTGGGCGGGTTTTTGGGGGGGAAGTGAGTGCGGATATTGGTTGCTGTGTGCGCGCCGGTAGTCCTGCTGTCGCTCCTGCTCCTGCTGATGTTCCCAATTCTGCTCCTGCTGCTGTTGCAAGTACTGCTGATATTGGTGGCACTGCTGCTGATAGTACATCTGCTGCTGCTGTTGCTGTTGCTGCTGCTGTTGCTGCTGCTGCTCCCTGTGGTGCTGGTAGTAACGGTGCTCCTGCGTCACATCCCCCTCTAACGCGCACTGCTGCGGCCGCGAGTGCATGTTGGGGTGTGAGAGTGGCCGCGCCAGCATTCCAGCCCCGTGCGCAGGGTAACCCGGGTAATTAGCGTAATTGCCCTCACGTGACTCGAACGGTCCTCCGTGAGGATAGCATCCGTTATAGTCACCGTCGCGCATAAGACCGGCTCTCTCTGACTCCAGCCCGTCAAAGCTTCTACGCCGCTCCGCATCTCGCGGCGCATCAAGCGGAGGAACCGCGTCTTCTAGCTCGGCGGGAGACGACACATAGGAGCGCGACCGCGTCGGGTGCGGGCGGTGGGCGGCTGAAACCACATGGCGCGTTTCTCTCCGCTCGTCGCCCTGATTCGCGGGCGGCATCCGCGCCGTCGGTTCCGCCTCAGGTCGGTCGGTTCGAATCGGCGCGCTTGCCGGGCGAGAGCCAGTGAGCGACGGACGCGTGGCGCCGCCGGAGGAATGCGCGGCGCCGTGGGACGGGCGCGAGATGCGGTGTAGACAGGGCGGATCCATGAGAGACTCGCCGTTGCAGATGGGTTCCGCTTCCTCCGCCTGATGCGCCAGGGGGGAGATGGAGAGGGGGAAGGGGGGAGATTGGGGGAGGGGGAAGACGGGGGAGGAATTATGAGAAAGGTAAGTTGGATGGGGAGGGGGAAGACGAGGGAGGGAAAAGACTGGGCAGAGGGAAGATGGGGACAAGGGAAGAGAGCTACTTTAATAACACGGCGATTTGGAACTCCGCTTGAAACGGTTGGATTCCGCGGGGAAGGACGGGGAAAAGCGGGGGAGGTCGAGAAATGGCGAGGAAGGTGCAGAAGGGATTGCGAAAAAAAGCGTGAAAAGAACGAGGAGAAGCGTCGAGAGCGGGGGAGGAGGAGAACGGGCTCTTGCTCCGTCGTAAGCGCGCGCTTACGGCGGGGAGGGAGACAGCTAGACCGAAACCGTTCAACTACGCTAACGCCGTGAGCTTCCAGGCGCGTTTCTGTAGCCAGCTTTGAACCTTGAGTTTTTCGGGCGTACCTTGCAACACACTCGTCCGTACCTTGAGCTTTTCGGGCGCGTTCGAGTCGAAGGCGATCAGCACGCCGCCGCAAAGCGAGCCGCCGCACGCGGCGAGGCCGAAGCCCATCACCAGGTAATCCACCATCGCCATGCGACGCGCGCGACAGCTCGACGACAGCTCGGCGACAGGCGGAGCGACAACTAGGCGACACGCCGCAGAATCGCGTGTCGGTCCGACGCCAGATGATGCACTTACGAACGGCGAAACGTCAAATTTAGTTGAAAGGCGAGACTAAGGACGCGGTAAAAGTGGAGAATCGATGGCCTCAGGATCGTTTTTTAGCGCGGTTGTAAACGGTTGTGTACCTTTCGTAAGCAAAACGCGAGGTTTCAGTGCGGTGACCGGATCGATCTCCCCCCGATCGAGCACTTTTACCTCGTCCCAAGAAACATTAATCTGATGTGCTTTGTACAGCACGTGAAGGAAATGTTGTTCACTTGTCGGTGACGGGAAAAGCTGCAAGGTCGATAACACTTGATTTCAGCAGAAGACAGAAACATGAGCCGGAGTCGATTTGTTGTTGATCAACCAGGCAACAGCAAGCCAGGCAGAAATTATGAACAACCTTGAAACAAGGAGTTGAGCTCTTAATAATACGTTGAAGTACGATTCTGTACGTTTGTGAACGTTTGTTTGAGGTATCGTTCATGACAGGAGTTCGATGTTGATTTGAGAGATGCACCAACAACCAGAACGCGCGATGGGGGGAGGAAGCGGAGAAATTGAACAGGCGGAGGGAGTGCGACGAAGAAAGGGGATAGGGGAGAGGTTTGCGGGAAGGGGAAAAAGGTGGGGAGAATGGCTGCAGTGCAACAGTGCTGTACTCACTGTAGCTGGTGTCTCCCTGACCAGCCACAACGACTGGTGTCTACCAACCAAAGACTGGGCTCTGCGAGCTCTGAACCTCAAAACCTGGTTTGTACTTTGTCTGGTTGTGAATGGTGACGTGTAACCAACCACGTCCTTTCAGAGGTGTGGCGATGGTCGAACCACAACGACCTGCAGATGCGCTTCCAGCCAGACCACTGAGGTTGAGATGCAGCAATCAGCTTCGACAGACATGCAGAAAACGACATTGTCTTGCGTTCAAGCGGGCTGCGGGAAGCCGTAGGCACAACGAACTTTGTTTGTCTAGGCTGGACAGTCCATATGCATTTCCTCTCCAGCACGAAATGAAATTCCTCCCCCGAAGGGGGGAATGGCATGGAAAGGTGGTCGGTATGTCGTTATTTCGTAAGTTGTGGAAGCATTGAGCGGATTTCAGGCGCAAGGAATCGTTCCACTGAAAATGAAAGCAACGGTCTAGCGAAGCAAAAAAATCGGGCAGTGTTGATGGTGCCATGACTCATGGCCCATGAGCCCAGCCTTTCGTTTGAAGCAAGTCGTGTTGGTGTCCACCGTGCCCTCGCCAATTTCACGTTCCCTGCAAATCTTCGAAAATCACCCTAGACCGTTTCTGGCTGTAGGGATGAAACAGTCAGGAACTGAAGGCTACAGAGGATAGACTGGATCTTCCGCTTCGACCATGTTTTTGTTTTCCTGCTGAGTCGTGAGGGTAGTCTCGAGCATTTTCCTACTTAAAGCATTGGCTGTTCGAATGACCCCCGATTTCGGGTAAACCAGAAAGGATTGCTCAGGGGTGTGAAATGGTGGGATTGAAATTGGCGAGGACCGTGTGTATGGGTGAGAAGCACGTTTTCTGGTCTGGCCACACCACACCACATCACAGCTGGCTCGACTCGACGCGGAACCGAGCCTGGGCAGAAAACATTGGCTTGGGAACGTCGGGGAGCAATTTGGCTCCCTGAACCACAGTTGGTGGAGCCCAGCCCAGATTCCTCGTGTTGAATCACCTGACGACTCAACACGTGCCTCTTTGGAAAGTGGTTGTGCTTTGTTGTTGGTTTTGAATCATTGTTTACGGTATCTGTTACGAGGGCTAGCTTAGCGCGTATATGTGGAGTTGGATGTCGCCAGCACATGGTTACCAGCCATCAGCTCGCCGAAGATCCGGTCGCCTTTTTGCCTCTGCTGAAGAATCTCCCGCAGAATCAAAACAGAGAATCTGGATCGAGTGACACACTCCCCACTGGTCATGTTCCTCAAAGAGTCATACTCCTGATACAATCACTCTTATCCACTCTTCCGTCCAATAGGCACACGTCCCTCGCCTACCGCCATTTTCAGTTCTGCTTCGCATTCTCACGAGTTGCGTCATTCTTCCTAACTGAACGCCTTGGGAATGCCGCGACAGTTCAGGGAACATCGGCCTGTTCGACAGCAAAAAATCAATCAACCTCCTCCCGTACTGAGGAGGAATACCTACCGCGTTCCAATCAACCTCACTCCATTGCACTAGGTGAGTGAGTAGATTCTGCTGTCAACGGCTAGAATTTACCACGATCAATGCTACCGCTGCCTTGCTACGCGCCACGCGCAACGCAAATGAAGAAGCGATATCAATGCACTCTCTTCCAAAACACTAGGGCATCGCAGTTTCACTGACTCCTTATTGCCTCTCAATATTTGAATCGTCTCAACGTTGCATTGTGTAACGGGATTCGCGAGAGTGTAAGAATGCCATCGCTGCCGCGTGGCCTTTCTTGCGAGCTACGTTACAGTTTGGCTGGTTCACTGACCAGTAGTCGTCGCTAAAATGCCGTTGGCGCCGTGTGTCTTGATCCGTGATCCCACTGCGGTCCTCTAGGGATTTACCGACGTCGCGAGAGTAGCCTTTCCTTCGTCAGCAATTTCATTTCCAGAATTCGTCGCTAGAATGCCATTGCCCCCGTGTTTCTTAGTCCGTGAGCTTACATTCGTGGTACTCTGGAGAATTATTGACGTCGCAAAAGTAACCCCCTTTCTTCTGTCGGCCGTCTTATTTCCAAAACTCTCAAGAGCCTCCCTTTCTTAGCGCGAATTTGATGGTGCGGCCGGCTCTGCACGTTACTTGCTCGTTTTTATTGTGACTACAACGAGTCGCCTTGTTTCCTCTCCATTCTGTTTCTCTTCCCAATCACCTACACTGCACATTCCTTGATTCAATTCACTCGCTAAGAAGCTTCCGAACGCACGAGCAAACACGAGTCGAACATGATAAATCACTTATCAGACCAGTCATTCAAGATAATTCATTCCAATCTGCTCATCACTCAATAATCACTCATCAATCACTCATGCTCCAATACGTGCCGTCCATTCATTTCTTCCTCTTGCCACGTGGCGCAGCGTGACTAGCTGACATGGCGTTCCCAGGATCCGCTGCAACGGCCAACATCAGAGCAGTCCTCCTTCCTGCTGCTGCCACGTGGCAGCACGTCAGCGTGACGTCAGCATCCAGCAGCACGCGAATCTCGCCTGCATCTTTCACAAACTCCCTTAGTTTCCAACGAGAAAAGAGGGGGAGATGTCTGCGGGGAGGGCTAGAAAATCACATAAGCGCACTGAGCCTTAGAAGAGATGGTGTTTTCCCAGGCGGGTTGGTAGGCGCGATAGGGCAGAATGGGGAATGCGGTAGGGGAAGGAGGGGAGTGCGCGTGCGTGCGGATGGGGGGACCACGACGACGGAGGCGAATGGCGTGACGGCAAGTGGTGGCACCGGATGGGCGGAGCGGCGGGAGGAGGAGATCGCTGCGGTGAGTGGAAACAGGTGTCATTTCAGGTGATCATTCAGGTTATCGTTCAAGTGATCATCAGGTAGTTGTTCCGATTCAGGTAATAGTTCATGAAGGTGAGTAGGAGTATAATCAGGTAATTATGACGGCGCGGCGAGCGACAACTATGCCTGAGGGCAGAGACCGCCCGTCCCTCCTCGTGAGGTGAGGTGGGGCAGGTGATCCACTCTCCCCCACTCATCTTTGCCTTTTGAGTCGACTCAAAGGACACCTCGATGCTGAAGGGTGTTTTTGAGAATTCTCAAAAACACTCTTCCCCACTCATCTTCGCCTTTTGAGTCGACTCAAAGGACACCTCCAGAGTCGATACCACCCTTCTCGTGTGAGACTGTACGCTTTTTGAGGCGCCTCAAAACTCGTGAGGCTGTACGCTGGTTTTTGGTTCCAAGATCCACTCTCTCCCCCTCCCCTTCCCCCCCCATATTCTTCCCTTCTTCCTGGCCCTCGTGAGGCTGTACGCTTTTCGAGGCGTCTCAACTTTCTCATCAACTTTCTCCCCTTTCTCCCAACCGAACCATCAGCTGATGGGGCGAGGAGGGGGGAGGTGAAATTCACCGTGGCTCGCGACCATGCGTCTCTCCTTCGTGGGAGTATGGGCAGAGCGATGAGGCCATGCTTATCCTTTCCCTTCTCTTCCAATATTTCCCGCACCCATCCTCCCCCCTCTACGACCCCCCCTCCTCTACGACCCCCCCTCTTCCCCAACACCCCAGCTCGTGGACGAGGTGAAGTCCATTCTGGCTCGCAACCATGAGTCTCTCCCCGTGGGGGCGAGTATGTGCGGGACGGCGAAGCCATGCTGATTGGTTCCTGCACCCGTCCTTCCCCTCTCCTCTCTTCCCCCACTCAACATCAGCTCGTGGAGGAGGTAAAGAGCATCTTGGCTCGCGACCATGCGTCCCTGCCCATGGGGGAGTACAGGATGTATGATGACATGACAGCATGCCTCTTCCTCTCCCTTACCTTCTCCCCCCCCCTTGTACACTCAGCTGGTAGACGAGGTGAAATCCATCTTGGCTCGCGACCATGCGTCCCTGCCCGTGGGCGAGTATGGGCGGGACGATGAGGCCATGCTGAGGTGGTTCTTGAATCCTCTCATCATGGCCCCATCCTCTGTCTTCCCCCCTGCTCCCCATACTCAAGTTGGTGGACGAGGTGAAATCCATCTTGGCTCGCGACCATGCATCCCTGCCCGTGGGCAAGTATGGGCAGGATGACGAGGCCATGGTGAGGTGGTTCCAGCGTGCACCCATCCTTATCCTATCCCCTCTCTTCGAAGAAGTGTTTTGAGACGTCTCAAAACACTTCTTCAAACTCCTGCGTGCACCCATCCTTTTCCTATCCCCTCTCTTCGAAGAAGTGTTTTGAGACGTCTCAAAACACTTCTTCAAACTCCTGCGTGCACCCATCCTTTTCCTATCCCCTCTCTTCGAAGAAGTGGTCTCAAAACACTTCTTCAAACTCCTGCGTGCACCCATCCTTTTCCTATCCCCTCTCTTCGAAGAAGTGTTTTGAGACGTCTCAAAACACTTCTTCAAACTCCTGCGTGCACCCATCCTTATCCTATCCCCTCTCTTCAAAGAAGTGTTTTGAGACGTCTCAAAACACTTCTTCAAACTCCTGCGTGCACCCATCCTTATCCTATCCCCTCTCTTCCCCCATTCACCATCAGCTCGTGGAGGAGGTAACAAGCATCCTGGCTCGCGACCATGCGTCCCTTCCTGTGGGAGGGAGAGTACGGGCAGGACGACGAAGCCATGCTGAGGTGGTTCTTGAATCCTCCCAACCTCTCCCCATCCTCTGTCTTCTCCCCTGCTATCCACACTCTAGTTGGTAGACGAGGTGAAGAGCATCCTGGCTCGCGACCATGCGTCTCTCCCTGTGGGCGAGTATGGGAGGGACGACGAAGCCATGCTGAGGTGGTTCCTAAAGGATCGCAAGTACAAGGTCGAGCCCACAGTGGAGAAGCTTGTGAAAGCCATTGTGAGTGGTGGAGTGCGGTACAATGCGTTTCCGAAAAGTGTTGCTGTTTACTCTCGTTACAGCAGCACCACCACCAGCACCCACTTACCATGCTGAGGTGGTTCCTCTAGGATCGCAAGTACAAGGTCGAACCCATGGTGGAGAAACTCGTGAAAGCCATTGTGAGTGGTGGTACGTATGGTGGTACGTATGGTGGTATGTATGGTGGTACGTATGGTGGACCATGGTTTTCTGGCTTGGCTTGCAGGTGGTTGGAGTTGTGGTTGAGGGGAATGTCACTGGTGACTTTGCAGCTTCATCCTTTGTCATGCCCCCATGCTCTCTCCTCAGCAATGGCACCATGTGTCTTTTGAGTCGGACTCAAAAGTCACCTGGTGACTTTGCAGCTTCATCCTTTGTCATGCCCCCATGCTCTCTCCTCAGCAATGGCGCCATATGTCTAGTGGTAGTTTCAGACAACTCAAAGTACACCCTTTGACTCGCACTTCCCTTGTGTACACCCCGGTCCTCGCCCCTTTGTCGTCCTGCACTCCTTGTCCCTCCCATGCACCACCCATTGCCCTCATCCTCTTATCAGAAATGGCGCCATATGTCTAGTGGTAGTTTCAGACAACTCAAAGTACACCCTTTGACTCGCACTTCCCTTGTGCACACCCCGGTCCTCGCCCCTTTGTCGTCCTGCACTCCTTGTCCCGCCCATGCACCACCCATTGCCCTCATCCTCTTATCAGAAATGGCGCCATATGTCTAGTGGTAGTTTCGGACAACTCAAAGTACACCCTTTGACTCGCACTTCCCTTGTGTACACCCCGGTCCTCGCCCCTTTGTCGTCCTGCACTCCTTGTCCCGCCCATGCACCACCCATTGCCCTCATCTGCTTATCAGAAATGGCGCCACGAGTTTGGAGTGGCAGGGCTGACGGCTGCTGACGTGGCAGAGGAGGGGGCCACGGGGAAGGCTTTCCTTCACGAGCATGCTGACGTGGACGGGCGGCCAGTGATCGTCGTGGTCGCAGCAAAACACTTCCCCAACGTATGTGACCAATTTTGAGAATTCTCAAAAGATAAATCATTTCCTGCTGCATACCTATCTAGCTCCTACAAGCATACCGATTCCTGTTGCTCAGCTACATGCATTTCTGCACCCAACCGTCCCTCGACCCTTCAACCCGCCAGTCATCCCGGCTGGTGTACAGCCAGCAGCTGTGTGCGTACCTCATCGAAAGAGCCATCAAGCATTGCTGCCCTGCCCTTTTCCCCTTTCTTTCCCTCCTTCCCTCCCCACTCCGCCCTTTCCCCCAATCACCAGTCATCCCGGCTGGTGTACAGCCAGCAGCTGTGTGCGTACCTCATCAAAAGAGCCATCAAGCATTGCTGCCCTGCCCTTTTCCCCTTTCTTTCCCTCCTTCCCTCCCCACTCCGCCCTTTCCCCCAATCACCAGTCATCCCGGCCGGTGTACAGCCAGCAGCTGTGTGCGTACCTCATCAAAAGAGCCATCAAGCATTGCTGCCCTGCCCTTTTCCCCTTTCTTTCCCTCCTTCCCTCCCCACTCCGCCCTTTCCCCCAATCACCAGTCATCCCGGCTGGTGTACAGCCAGCATCTGTGCGCGTACCTCATCAAAAGAGCCATCAAGCATTGCTGCCCTGCCCTTTTCCCCTTTCTTTCCCTCCTTCCCTCCCCACTCCGCCCTTTCCCCCAATCACCAGTCATCCCGGCCGGTGTACAGCCAGCAGCTGTGTGCATACCTCATCAAAAGAGCCATCAAGCATTGCTGCCCTGCCCTTTTCCCCTTTCTTTCCCTCCTTCCCTCCCCACTCCGCCCTTTCCCCCAATCACCAGTCATCCCGGCCGGTGTACAGCCAGCAGCTGTGTGCGTACCTCATCAAAAGAGCCATCAAGCATTGCTGCCCTGCCCTTTTCCCCTTTCTTTCCCTCCTTCCCTCCCCACTCCGCCCTTTCCCCCAATCACCAGTCATCCCGGCCGGTGTACAGCCAGCAGCTGTGTGCATACCTCATCAAAAGAGCCATCAAGCATTGCTGCCCTGCCCTTTTCCCCTTTCTTTCCCTCCTTCCCTCCCCACTCCGCCCTTTCCCCCAATCACCAGTCATCCCGGCTGGTGTACAGCCAGCAGCTGTGTGCGTACCTCATCAAAAGAGCCATCAAGCATTGCTGCCCTGCCCTTTTCCCCTTTCTTTCCCTCCTTCCCTCCCCACTCCGCCCTTTCCCCCAATCACCAGTCATCCCGGCTGGTGTACAGCCAGCAGCTGTGCGCGTACCTCATCAAAAGAGCCATCAAGCATTGCTGCCCTGCCCTTTTCCCCTTTCTTTCCCTCCTTCCCTCCCCACTCCGCCCTTTCCCCCAATCACCAGTCATCCCGGCCGGTGTACAGCCAGCAGCTGTGTGCCTACCTCATCAAAAGAGCCATCAAGCATTGCTGCCCTGCCCTTTTCCCCTTTCTTTCCCTCCTTCCCTCCCCACTCCGCCCTTTCCCCCAATCACCAGTCATCCCGGCTGGTGTACAGCCAGCAGCTGTGTGCGTACCTCATCAAAAGAGCCATCAAGCATTGCTGCCCTGCCCTTTTCCCCTTTCTTTCCCTCCTTCCCTCCCCACTCCGCCCTTTCCCCCAATCACCAGTCATCCCGGCTGGTGTACAGCCAGCAGCTGTGCGCGTACCTCATCAAAAGAGCCATCAAGCATTGCTGCCCTGCCCTTTTCCCCTTTCTTTCCCTCCTTCCCTCCCCACTCCGCCCTTTCCCCCAATCACCAGTCATCCCGGCCGGTGTACAGCCAGCAGCTGTGCACGTACCTCATCGAAAGAGCCATCAAGCATTGCTGCCCTGCCCTTTTCCCCTTTCTTTCCCTCCTTCCCTCCCCACTCCGCCCTTTCCCCCAATCACCAGTCATCCCGGCTGGTGTACAGCCAGCAGCTGTGCACGTACCTCATCGAAAGAGCCATCAAGCATTGCTGCCCTGCCCTTTTCCCCTTTCTTTCCCTCCTTCCCTCCCCACTCCGCCCTTTCCCCCAATCACCAGTCATCCCGGCTGGTGTACAGCCAGCAGCTGTGTGCGTACCTCATCAAAAGAGCCATCAAGCATTGCTGCCCTGCCCTTTTCCCCTTTCTTTCCCTCCTTCCCTCCCCACTCCGCCCTTTCCCCCAATCACCAGTCATCCCGGCTGGTGTACAGCCAGCAGCTGTGTGCGTACCTCATCAAAAGAGCCATCAAGCATTGCTGCCCTGCCCTTTTCCCCTTTCTTTCCCTCCTTCCCTCCCCACTCCGCCCTTTCCCCCAATCACCAGTCATCCCGGCTGGTGTACAGCCAGCAGCTGTGCACGTACCTCATCGAAAGAGCCATTTGAACGACAGAACCTTTAACTCTCGTTGACCCGGTCAAACCCCGCCTCTTGCCGCCCCTCCCCGCCAGTCATCCCGCCTGGTGTACAGCCAGCAGCTGTGCGCGTACCTCATTGAAAGAGCCATCGAGCGACTGCCGGAAGGGAAGGAGCAGTTCCGAGGGATATTCGACCTGCGAGGCTTCACCGCTAAGAACACTGACCTTACGTTTGTCAAGTTCATGGTAAGTGGTATGTGTGGGGAAGGGGGGAGTTGCATGGACCTGGCGTTTGTGAAATTCATGGTAAGTGGTATGCGTGGGGAAGGGGGGAGTTGCATGGGCGAGGGAGAATTAAAGTGGGGGGTGGTCAGTTCTGGGGGATATGCGACCTGCGGGGCTTCACTGCTAAGAACACTGACCTGGCGCTTGTGAAGTTCATGGTGAGAAGTTGTATGGTCAAGGGAGGCTTTAAAGGGGGGGTGGTCACTTCCGAGGATTCACTGCTAAGAACACGGACCTGGCGTTTGTGAAGTTCATGGTAAGCTAGTGTGGGAATGCATGTGGGGAAGGTGGCTTGCGGGGGTTCACTGCTACGAACACCGACCCGGCGTTTGTGAAGTTCATGGTGAGTGGGTGAGCATGTATTCAGGAGAGGAGAGGGGTTGGGGGGGTGCGGGAAGAGGGGAGGGAAGGGGATGGGGGGGAAATGTATGGGGGTGAGTGATTTTTGAGAATTCTCAAAAATCACTCACAAGGGGATGGGGGGGAAACGTATGGGGGTGCATCTCACGTTATCCGTTTCTCCTCCTTTCTCCCCACTATCACCACCTTTCACAGATTGACGTTTTATTCAACTACTAGTCCAGAATTTTCGTTAGGCTATCAGAATTGTCTCCCTGTATCCGTTTCAACCCGGTGCTTCCCGTCATTTCCTCCTACAGATTGACGTTTTCTTCAACTACTATCCCAAGAGATTGCACCAGGTATGGCAAGCAGGACTTCATGATATCTTTTTTTTTTGGGGGGGGGGGTCCCAGTAGGTAGAATGGAAGGGAATGTAAGAGAACGGAACAAAATGCAGGAGAGTGGAAAGAGAATAAGAGATTCTGCGGTAAATGGATGCCAGTGTTGTTCCCCACCTCTCTTGCTTACCATATTCTTGCTCACCACACCACGCCCTTGCGGGTGCGCTGTTCACCTTCAGCTTCTCCCTCTTCCATTCGTTGCACGCATCCTGCTTCTCCCTCTTCCATTCGTTGCACGCATCCTGATTCTCACCGCAGCTGCGCTTTGTGAACCCGCCCTTCATGTTCCATTCTTCTCCCTGCCTGTCACATGCCCTACACCGCTTCCCACCACTTCCCACCACTTCCCACCACTTCCCACACTGCTTGAACTCATCTTGATGCCACCCCAGGTGCTCTTTGTGGACGCACCCTTCATCTTCCAGCTGGGGTGGACTATCTTCCAATCTTGGGGGCTTCAATATCCATCTCGTTGGGAACACGTCTGATTTGCTGCTCCCATCCGACCCTCCACCACCCCAGGTGCTCTTTGTGGATGCGCCCTTCATCTTCCAGCCGGGCTGGAAGGTCATGAAGCCTCTGCTTAAGTCGTATGCCAACCTGGTGAGCCGACTTGAAATCTGCCTTAGGTTACAAAGCCGCTCTTGAAGCCACACACCAATCTGGTACCTCCAGTGCTGTTGCTGTTGAGAAGTCCATCCCAGTTGTCCACTTGCTTCGCAACCATGAGGAACCGTTTGGTAAAATTATGTGCTTGTGGTGGAAGAAGCATAAGCCTCCTCCCAATCGTCATCTCTTTTTCCGCTTTTCCCTCCCACCAGGTTGTTTTCTGCAAGGCCGAGGAGGTCAGAGACAAGTATTTTCAGCCAGGCCAAGCACCTGAGTCGTATCTTTGAAGCCTCCTCGCTCTAATGCGGTAGAATGGAATGATTAAGTCTGGAGATCGTCATTTCAATCAGACACCAAGATCGTATGTATGTCAATCTGCCCAGTGCCGACTCCCAGAGAATGTTAGTGTATGGATTGAAGCAAACTAGAAACTGCACCAAGTAGTTTTTATTTTTTTTCGTAGAACTCGAAATTCTGATTGAGTAAAACATGTTCCTCACAGTACAGCAAACAATAGAATGTGGGTTCCAGACCTGGCTAATTCCTGTTTACTGGCACGTGTTCTTCTCAATAGAAATTTGTTCATTCCCCTAACTCCTAGCCCTGGCTATATTGAGGTAGGACCTTGATGACGTTTCCCTATGGCAGACGACGTCAGGTTGTACATTTCTCGCCCATTCTCAGTTCTTATATTGTGGCTCAGGACGGTTCTACACGGTTGAAAGCGGTTCTCAAGGTTCACCCTTTTGCACCGTGACGAAATGAAGTTGACCGCGGTGTGCTTAGGACGCGTCACAAGTAAAATATCGAGGAAGGATCAGGGTTGTTCACCGAACCTGTCAAACCGATCGCCATATCGGTGTGTCACGACTGCTTTGAAGTTTCAAGTGACACGATCGTAAAAACATGGGGCAAAATTGCCCGATGTGGACGAAATTGCACGATCGATGTGTGACAGGGGCACATCGATCGCCTGACTTAGAAGGGAAAACTGTACGTTAACGAAAATAAACGAGAAAGTGTAACCACCTAAACACCGATTCTAGGCAGGATCGATGTTCTACTTGTGACGCGTCCTTACAGAAAGGTGTACAACCTGACATAGCCCTTACTATCACTCCTAGAGTAGGGCAGTACGTCAAATAATGAATGGAATGTTCGAGCTCGAGATGTGTTATGATCGCGTGGTCTGGTAGCATACCATATTAGGCTTGGTTATGGTGTCGTTTCGGTAGCATGCGCAGCGCGATGTTCCGGCAGGTCTTAGCGGCTATTCGTGTGGAGCTTTGAATTGTCGCGAGAGGCGACGGGATGGGTGAGGTAACCCGTGGCGAAGAGTTTCGTGTTGGAGATTTACATTCGTCGTCGCCGTTGGGTAGAGAGATAGAGCTTGGGCGATTGACACCCGTCACCCACGGATGATTAAAAATCGCATCGGCGGTGGGACGTGATCCAGGATCCACGGACAGCATCGAACGGATTAGATTTGTCGCGGGATTTGACACTTCGGACCAGCAGGGGAGGTTCCAATCCTCGCGCGACTGTCGTCCGCGAATAATCGTCGGCCATCCGCCTGCCAGCATGGAATACAGGGTAACCCCAAGGCTCCAAATATCCGCGGAGAAATCGTATTTTTCTCTCGCGAGGACCTCCGGAGCGATGTAGGGAAGGCTTCCAACGCACGCCTGAGCTTTCTGTCCCGGGTGAGAACCGTCGATGCGCCGAAATCGGACAGCTTAGCTGTGAAGGCCACGAAAGGCGGCGCGGTCTCGTGAAGTCCGGCGCCATTTGTTCGAGGCAATGAGGCTGTCACGTCTTCGCTTGATAGGGCTTCCCCATTGGAGTCAATCTTAGATCTGCTGTTGCTCATGTCGCACGTCGCGTCGTCGCCTGACATCACGTTACTAGATCTGTTTTCAAACAGAAGGATATTTTCCGGCTTGATATCGCGATGCATCAACCCGTTCGCGTGACACTGCTTCACGCCGCACACCACGTCGCGGAAAATCGACCGCGCCTCCCATTCAGGCAGCCGTCCTTTCGCATTGATGTGTGTTACCAGATCGCCGCCTGTCGCGAGTTCGGAGAGCAATATTAGGGTTTCAGTCTGAGGATCGTGGAACAACGCTTGGATGGAAACCACGTTGGGACAGCCTTGAAGCGTTGAAAGCGCGCCGATTTCTCGTAAGGCGGAATTCACGGCCGCGTTGCCGACGGCTCGTTTACAGGCGAACTCGTTATTGCCTTGTCGCTCCTGGCATCGCCATACGGTTCCGAACTTCCCGGCTCCCAGCTTCTCTTTCGCTTCATATTCTAAGTGAAAGTCGTCTAACGGTCGAATTAGCTGCAGCATGCTGCTGGGTGTATTTCTGCGGTGCAGAGCTGGAACCGTCTTGCTTCTGGAGGTGACGAGGCTAATCTTCGTGTATCATCAGGAGCTGAAGCGACGGTTCGGGTCTGGTACTTTACATACACCAATTCTCGTGTACTTACGGTAGCGCTGCGCTGGCGCGGGACATGTCGCGTGCGCATGACTTCGACTTGAGTTTGTTGCACAGCTACACCTGTAGCAGGTTTGCGTGGCAAACATTTTTTAGCGTGACGGACATGCTCTGCCGTCTTTTACAAGAGAAAGCTGAGGCAGACGGAAAAGGTAAGGACGCGGTAAAAGTGCAAATATCGCAGGCTCGTCTGCAATACCGAGACCCACAATCGATTGGGCAGATCAATTGGCGAAACGCGGCGATCGCGACATTGTAACGATCGCCACTGAGATTTGACGTATCTCCCGCGATCAGTGATCAGTCGCATTCACAGACTGTACAAAAAAATTGGCCAAAAAACGTAATGTAGCATAGTTACAGCCTAGCTGATCGGGTAACCAATCTGCAAATCGATCGCGACTGACGATCGGCGTCTACTTTCACCGCGTCCTAAAGCCGTTCGCCGTGTCGTGAGGGGACGGGAGGGGAATGAGAAAATAGGTGTGGGTTTAGTACAATCGGTGCTCATTTCAAGAACCCAGGTAGGCGAGCGACATGTGCGTGAAACGAGTTTGTCTATTTGGCCACATTCGCCCTTGTCGCCACGGGCAAAAATGTGATTGTAAAATGAAATTGGAATGTGAAACGAGTCTAGGGGTTTAAGTTCGTAACCAGGTAAACAATTCTGATGACAGGCAGCCGTTGTTGTTTATGAACTGTAGATGTTTTTCTTCCGCAACTTGGTGACTGTACCCCGAAATCCAGAAGTGGCCTAGTCAGTAGAAAGAGGCACTTCCGATAGATGAGGTCCTGGGATCGAACCCACCCCCGTGCAGGCGTGTTCTGCCAGACCCCAAGAAGGGGTCAGCACGTGCTCATCTAGGAATGGATACCCCTAAAACTGGTTACGACCAGAAAATATAACTTTAGTTTTAGCTTAGCACAATGGCCAATTTAGTCACTCACGGGCAAAACGTTCGCGAGTGACAAATTTTCTAATTGTGAGTGTTACGAATAGTAATATTTGATTATTACTGTGCACTCCTCACCGCAGCAAAAAAAAGGAAGCATGCAGTATCGAGAGTGAACACGAAGAGTCAAAGTTGACTCGAAGCGTCAGACGGTTAAGGCGCATCTGAACCGTCGAAGCAAACGGCATAAGGCAGCTGCAGGCAGGATGGTTTCGGCGGGAACAGTTCCGCAACTGTACGCGCCGCACGGGTGGGAATGAACTTGAATAAGGGAATGTACCCCTTAGAGTACATGGCCAGCTAGGTCTCTTCGTCTTCCCTGTACTCATATTTATACTTGCTGTATTTGCATGTTTTATTCATCTCAAGCATTTTACATTCACTCTGCTATTGAGGTCAAGGGCCCACCAACTTCATTTCTCTGTGCGAACCTTCCCGAGTAGATCCTGGGAACGATCAACTTCTGATCGTAGCATGGTATGAGAGCGGCTCGGGAATCCTTCGCACTACCACTCCCGAAAATTGCGACATTCGGAAAGTGGCGTCCGGCACACGATCGCGTGTGAGAATGGCCGGAGGATCTGGTGATCAGACTAATCTGACGGCTGAAGCGCAACCCGACCCGGTTGCGACAAGCGAGAACACGACAACGATCGGCACCGAAGTCCTCGCACAACTTCTTCAGCGACTCACCAGCTTGGAGCAAGGGCTCCAAACATTACGGAACGGCGATGCGGGAACATCCTCGCAACCATCTCAACCGGCCCCAACTGGGCAGAACGCCGTCCCGCAAACTTTCTCCCTCGACACAAATGGCTCAACCCCCAAGGCTCCCCGTCCCAGTGAGGAAGCAATTCTCTCAGCACAATCAAAGTTTCTCAGCATATCAAAAATAAAGACAAGTACCTGTTTCGACGGCAGAGACTTCTATACCTGGAGCTTCGAACTGGAGCTCCTGCTACAGAACGCCCAAATCTATCATTATTTCGACGGGAGCTACGCGGAACCCGCTGAGGACACCGACGACGCCAGGACTCGCTACTACAACGAGTCCCTGATGGCGTACGGAATTCTCCTTCGCAACATGTCGCCGGCGGAGCAACTAAACATCCGATCGTACAAGACATCGGCTGCTCCAGCCCTCGACGCCTGGCGCCACCTGAACGGTGTGTATCAGCCGAAGGACTCCGTTTCCTCGAGCCGACTGCTTCAGCAGCTGCTGGAGACCAAAATGGTCTCAGGGGAGAAGGTCAACAGCTACATCAATCGCTGTCGGAGCCTTCGCGATCAAATCGTGAAGCTAGGAAGTTCGATTTCCGAAGAAATCTTCGTGAACATCGTGCTTCAAGGGCTCGGCCCAGAGTGGCGGCCCTGTAAGGCGCTTCTCCGACAGCAGGGGGTCATCTCGGAGGCCGCCCTCTGCGCCGCACTTCTCGTCGAACAACGGGATATGGATCAGCAGCGACCAGTACCACGACGAGAAAGAGAACAACTCGCCTTCTACGCCGACAACAACGAAGAGCGACGTCCGAGGCGCCTCTACTGCAAAATTTGCAGGACTTTCGGGCACCTGGCGGATCGATGTAAATACCGATCTCGCCCTCGCCAGACCAATCCGAGCACCTGGTCCGGCCGACAAGACGCACGAGGCGACGTGCGTCCAGCCCAGGGGTATCAACCCCCAACCGCGCGCAACCTGAATCCAACGATTCAGCATCAACAGCAGCAGCCACCATCGACTGCACCAGCACGCAACGTCATGAGCAACATGGCCATGACAGGCAAATCGCGTCGTCGCCGCGTGCGCTCACCTTCCCCTGAGCCCGCGCCACA